ATTATGCCGTAGCATCCTGCTGGACTGAGTTGTGTCCTTAAATGGTGTATTGAGCCAGGCATTAAACCTCAAACCCCGCTGAGCGCAGGTCTTGGTCTTTATGACTAATAAATTTTAATAAATCCTACGGGGGTCTATGTCTTCCTACAAGCAAGGCCCCAGTGGTATGCTAGTGTGTGTCACTGATTATTTGATTTTGAGTTTTGGTGCCGTAGAAGCTTTCTTAGATGATAATAAACTTATTTTATTTTTTTCTTTCATATCCGTTTATTGTTCGTTTTTTTCGGGCATATAATCGAAGTGTTACTTTTCCGGGCATAAAACCGACCCGATCCATTTTTTAACTCCTATTTTAAAATGCTAAACAACAAGAAAGTAAAACGATTTAAAAAATTCTAACACCATTTTATGATTGACTCTTTGTTTATTATATTTAATAATTTCATTGATTTATTTTTCCATAGAAATTTGGAATTACATTTATCGAAAAGCAATTTTTTTTATTTTATGCAATTCGTAGCATAATCTTACGACACCCCCATTTTTTTCAAAAACTAAACGTAAATTGCACCAATTTACCAATTTATTGATATTAATCTATTTAATTTTTTATTATAATTGAGTTTTAACTAGTCGATTGTTAAATTACAAGATATAATTATTGTTTTTATAAAATTAGAATTTTTTAAAAAAAAAGTGGTACATAATTTTACGACAGTTTAATTTTAATGATATTTAATAATTAATTGAGCCACCATTGTTTTCAATCACCAGTTAAATTTTGTTTTCCATCGAATTAATAAGCTTTTTACAGAAATCCGTGCTAGTATTATGTCAATTTTTAGAAATTGGGGGTTTAATTTATTTACTTTGTCGTAGGCGTTTTCTTCAGAATATTTATGTCTAGAAAGCTATACCTAAAATTTTTCCAAGGATTAAGATCAGTAGAATATGCTTCCCAAAACATTGTTTCGATATTTTTGTAAGCAAATCAATTTTTTGTAAATGCTGAAATATAATGCCTTGCTTTATTCTGCTAAAATTGTTTTATATAAATTTTGTTCATTCATAAATGGAAGTAACCTGTTATTCAATATATCTTAATTTTTTAAACTATCTATACTTACTGAAATAAAAGACAATTTTGTTTTTTTAAAATATTTAAAACAACCCCAAACCATGACTGAAGATCCTCCCATAGCTCTGCAAAAATACACAACCTCTTTTGTTTTAATACCTGCCTAATAATAAGTTAAAGGCATCACGATTAAACTTTTTTTCATCCAAAAAACTATTTCTTTCCATCTGGTCCCAATTTTGGTATTTACCTGAAAATATTATTTATTTTTTTTATGTTCAAAATTTGAAGCGGGTTTTCGTCGTTTTTTTCTTTTTAGTCCGCCATCTTTTGCTAAAATTCTTGTTATGGTGGATTTATGCATATTTAAGTCTAAAATATGCTTCAACTTATTCGCCGTTATGTTTTTACCACTAGCAATTTCAATTGGTTTTGACCGTTCTTCAAGAAAGATCTTTTTAGTACGACCAGATGACTTCTTCTTGTAATAATTTAAAAAAATTTTTATGTATTTAGTGATAACAGCACGTGATCTGCTTGTCTCACTGCTAATTTCGGAAATTGATTTTTTTGCTTATTTAGCAAAATAATAAAGACCTTCTTAGAATCATCGAGAGATGGTTTTCTACTAATTAGGGGCCAACACAATTTTTTTTTAAATATTTTTTCGCCAAAAAATATATCAAAAATTCGACTGTCGTAAGATTATGCAACACTCTTTTTAAAAAAAAACCCAAATTTATAAAAACAATACATTATATCTAATAATAAAATAAATGAAAAACTAAACTTCAGTTTAAAAATAAAATTGACGAATTAATGTCAATAAATTTTTACATTAGTGCAATTTTAGTAGAATTTTTTATAAAGATAGGGTGTCGTAAGATTACGCAACGGACTGTATTGTCGCGAGGCCAGCTCGCACCCGAGCTCCAGCCGCACATAGTTCGATTCCCGGCACAATTTTTTATACGAAAATGAGTTATTTTAAACGTTGCAATTTACTAGGCTTACAAAAAGTTAAGTTGTAAAATAAGATTAAAAATACCTTTTATGGGTTTGTGTAAAGGTATTGCTGTATCCAAAGTTTAAAATATTTGTATGACGATATTGCCATCATTAAATCTTGTATTTAGATAACATAAAATAAGTTTTTCAAAAATAAAGTAAGGAATTATATAAATTATAACATTTTTTGAGCACGAAAATAAACTGCATTTAATTGTTTTTTTTTATTACGTTGGCGGCCAATTTTGAGTTCAGTCCCCCCCCTAATTTATATAAATAACTTCTTAAAAAAATACCCCTATTTTTTAAAAAACCAACAAAATTTCAAAGTAATAATTTAATTAAAACCAAAAAGTAATCTTTTTTATGATTTCTTAGAACCATAAAACGTAGCAAATATGGTAAAATTGGTTTTTTTATGTGACGCCGTATTGGTGTTTGCTATTTGATAACTGCCCAATTTGCCTCGATAGTGTTGGTATGAACACTAGCTATTGGGTCCTTAATAATTTACTGTGGTTAACAATAAGATGGCATCCCAAAAATTAGAAAGTTTAGAGCACCCTTTCCAACAATCAGAGTATATAATAGAGTCTTTTTTTACAAAATTTTTAATTAATTTGTTTTAAAATTCATTTTTTCTAATGGATACAGGAAATAAAAAATTCTACGCTGTAATGATCTTTCAACCATTCCAAGTATCCATACTCCTTCAACCTCATGTCCATTACTGTATTTCATTTTGCCAAATTTGCTTTCGTCTACTTCTATTATCATCTTATCTCCTCCTAAAAATTCGTCTATATTTTTTAAATATTTAAAATATAATTTTTCTTTATAAAGCATTTATAGATTATTAGAGACAACATTTAGTCTTGTTCCTAAAATCTTTACAATATGGTGTAATTGCATTTTTGCACACCAAAAGGTTAACACTTTTGATATATCCATGTGGTTGATTTTTCCCTCTCGAATGCAGTACCTGCAAATAAACTTCTTTCCTTACAAAACTTCTTAATTTAACATCTCACAATATTAATTTTGATTTTTCTACCTTTCACTTCACCATTACAAATGGTGCATTTTCTTCTAAGTAAACAACTTTTTATCAAACTATAAATTTCAACTAAATTTTCTTCGCTCTGCATTACTGAAAATGGAGTATTTTTTTAAAAAAAAATTTTATATAAATTAGGGGGTAACTGAACTCAAAAAGTTCCACATTAGCCATAATTATTCTCGGTTCTGTTCCCGTGATCAATTAGTAGTGGATTCTCATAAACTTTTTTTATTCTAGCTGCAGAAGGAAAAAATGGATCAAATTTTGGCCATATCTTATTATAATCCGCTATAATAATTTTTATTTTTTTGTCCTTAAAAATGAGGGAGCAGGGAGAAAATTTGATGCAAAAAAAATGGCCGAAGAAGAAAACGTTTATAAAGTCATATATTGCAATGATTTTTTACTTAAAACCATTTACAATATATTTAAGCAAACCGACTTAGAGTTCTTGCAGGTTATAGTCGGTTTAAGTCTTCTTAAAAATAAGGTGGTGTTGATCAAATAACACGATGATATCAATAAGGATGAAGAAATTGCCAGATGGATATGCTTGGGTGTGCAACCTGCAACAAAAAAAATTCATAAGTCTGTTCGTCATCTACGTTTTTTTGATAGATATAAAAAGTCGTTTGAAACAATAATACTTTTTTTATAATTGGAGTATGAAAGCCAGCCAAAAAACAACAACAAAAGAACCTTCGTTAAACAAAAAATATGGCTTTGTTATAATGCAATTATCTGCGAAAAAACGTGTCAGATCATATTTTTGCAGGGCAATATTAAGGTGGATGGCACCAATTAAGATGCACTCCCGAAGTAAGAGAAAGACGAATCTCTTTTCTTCAAAAGAGAACATTACAAGGGAAGATTTTGCCAGCAGCATTGGTTTTTGTAGAACGTGGTATGAAGAAAGCAGGACTTACTATCGTTTCTGATAGATCTCACGGCACTTTAGACCTTTCAATTAAATATTATTGTCGTAGAGATATAAATATTCTAATAATTTTTAACCCCAATTCCATCATGCCTGAAACTAAAGAAATAAATAATCTTAATGTTAATTATATTCCGTCGGTTTCCCGTATTATAAGCGATCAATGGTCTGCGTATTCTTTTTTGGCATCTGATTTGTCATATATCTACACTTCCGTTAATCACTCTTAAAATTTTATTGTTCCTTGTAAATTCTGAAATACATCCTCAAAGCATTAAATTGTATTATATGCACTGCAAGAACTTGATAAGAAATCAATTTGGTACACATGAACACCAATTTAAAGGTTATCTATATGGATTTTCATTTAGAAAAGCTGTAAGTGACTGTGGTTTGAATTTACATGTAAAAAAAGTATTTTCTAGAATTTTTTAAAATATAAATATTTTACCCCTACACAAATATATATGAGAAGAAGAACCGATAATAAAAACGGTTATAATAAAAATACTAGCTACAAGGAGAGCAGTATTAATAGTATTCGGCCAATAGAGCCATTAATAATAAATTATTTAGGATTGTGTTTTAAACTAGGTTTTATTCCAAGTAAGCACCCCCAGTGACAAAAACAAAAATTTTAATAAACTTTTGATAGTTATTTTTAGAGTAGACGATTCGTTTATTAGTGATATAATATAATCAAATTTTTCTGTGTTTACTCTTTGTGCATTTTTTTCTTGTTTTAATTTTTATGGCGGATAGAAATATTAATAAGGGATCATAATAGGATATGGCCTAAATTTTAAGCGTTTGTTTGCTTAATTAGCATTAAATTCTTTTTTTAAAAGATTATATTCGCCTAAATTAAGATAATACACAGGATTATGAACCGTCTTTTTATACATTCTTGCCAGGTACTTAGCACATTGTGATAACCTCGGGTGAGGAAACAACACGAAAGTATTGCTCCAAGAGGGAACAGATAAAATTTGTATTCAAAAAACTAATTTGTTTATTAATTGTGGTATCCATCTTTATTAAACCTTTATAATATTGTCCTTCGTGCTTCTTCATTTTTGCGTAACCTTTCTTTTAATAATTTTAATTATAGAAAATAAAATTAGCAAATTTGATAACAAAAAATTATTATAAAAAGAAATATATTAATGCTTTGTGGTTGGATAACACACATATACTTAGGCTTTATTTACT